AGGAGAATCCTGCTGAACCCAAGGCTCACTGTGGGCTCCCCAGCCCTGCAGCCCCCTGGCCACAGCCCCCTGGCTCTGGTGTCACCCCTCCCTGCTGTCCCCCAGCCCCTGCAGCTCCGCATTGATCATTCCTGCCTCTCCCTGCCAGAGGCTGACCTCACCGGCTCTGGGACTGCAATAAAGTGCTTTTTTCCCTGGCAGGGACAGTATTTACATTCCACACCGAGGCTCTTGGACCCGGCTCTGCTCTTGGACACGTCTGGGCTGGAGTAACTGGGGAGAGTTTGTGCTCCATCTCTGCTCCATCCACCATCTGCCGTGCCTCAGCCTCCCCCTGCCCCGTTTCCCATGCCAGACACAATGCATATTTGGAAAAAGCCGCGCGGATCATCTGCTAAGCATCTCAAATATTCCAGTGATGAGGAATGTTCTGGGGCAGAGAGGGTCCTGAGAGCTGGTTCTGCTCTGAACAACTCCTGTTTCAGCCAAAATCCAGCTCCCCACCGCGCTCAGCCGTGGGTGGGCAGAGGAGCAGAGCGGTTCCAAACACCTGGGTGCCCTGCACGAGGCAGGGATGGGAAAGCCCAGGGCAGTGAGCTGTGCTGGGAGCGATGCCGCAGCAGCTGAGCCAGCAGGAAATGTGTGTGTAACAAAAGCAGCCTCCAAACCCTGCTGTGTTGATGCTGCGGTGGGGTTTGGCTCGAGCGAGACAAACGCCGGGGCTGATTCACACCCGGCCAAGGCTGTTCCTCTGTTTGGGTTTGGAACATCCAGAGCAGGAGCCCGGAGAGCCCTGAGGGAGGTCCTGGCCCTGGGAGGAGCTTCCTGGTGGCTCCTGGAGCGTGAGGAGAGGAGCAGATGCTGGCACTGCCTCCCTCAGGCTGCCCTGACAATGCTGGGGCCACCAGGATCCCACTCAGCTCTGGGATAACTCCTGGGATGGACACGGGGTCCTCAGAACAGGGGGAGAGCCTGGGGCACCAGGGACACAGGGGTGACAGGGAGGGACCTCCTGAGACACTGGTGGCACTGCCTCTGGGATCCCCATTGGGACAGGGACACTTGTGCCAAGGTCACTGTGGGATGGATCTCCATTGGCACAGGGACACTCCGGCCAAGGTCACTTTGGGATCCCCATTGGCACAGGGACACTTCTGCCAAAGTCACCATGGGATGGATCCTCATTGGCACAGCCAAGGTCACCATGGGATGGATCCCATTGGCACAGGGACACTTGTCCAGCCAAGGTCACCATGGGATCATGATCAGCACAGGGACACTTGCCCAGCCAAGGTCATCATGGGATCCCCATTGGCACAGGGACACTTCTGCCAAGGTCACCATGGGATGGATCCCCATTGGCACAGGGACACTTGTGCCAAGGTCACTTTGGGATCCCCATTGGCACAGGGACACTTCTGCCAAAGTCACCATGGGATGGATCCCCATTGGCACAGCCAAGGTCACCATGGGATGGATCCCAATGGCACAGGGACACTTGTCCTGCCAAGGTCA